TTATCCATGTACTTGTGTGATACATATATATATCCAGTTATTTCACTATATTTGTTTACATTTTCACATAATTGTTTGCATTATACTTTAATTCCCAATTGTTTATATTTAACACATATACCTGATAATAAAAGTACTATTAACAATTAAAACACAAATGCAGTTTAATTTTAATTTCCAATCAGTTTACAGCTGAGTTTTTCAAAAAGTCCAATGAACTCCAAGTACATTTAGGAATGATCTTACCCCATATATTCATTCAGGCATTTTTTTGTCAGTTGTGGGACTTGAACTTAGCACCTGGGTGCTGACCCTGAGCACTTTTTGCTCAAGGCCTAGTGTTCTACCACTTTGAGCCACAGCGCCATTTCCAGTTTTCTGGTGGTTAACTGGAGATAAGTCTCATAGACTTTTCTGCCCAGGCTGGCAGATCTCAGGCTCCTGAGTAGCTAGAATTACAGGTATGAGCCACCAGTGCCTGACTCAGGCATTCTTCCCCCCACCCCATTTGAATATATTTGTTATACAAAGGAGATTTCATTTTATTGCTCAAAAAACCCTTATACACACATTTTCTACTGTACATGAATTAGTGCTCATAACACTGTTTTCCACAGGTCAAACGTATAAGTGCATCTCAGCCTTCTTCAGGCCCCAGAGGATTCTGGGAGGCTGGAGCCCCTCCAGGGGCTTCATCTGCCTTGGGATGGGGTGGCACCTCCAGGCGGTTTGTGGGCCAATGACTGATGCCTGTGGGGAGAGGATCACCACCACAGTGTCCCGCACATGTGCCCGTGATGCGCCCCTCCACCCCCCCATCCTGCAGCTGTGACTTGTGACTGGACTAAAGCGTATGTGGAGACAGCTACCCCCATACGCCATGGCAGACAAAAGTAACTGTGTTCGCTCACTTTGAAGTTTTTGCTTTGTTGGAAGCAATGTCATTCATGGCCTGACACCTGTCACGGAGTCCCAGAGGCTGAGGTATTATTTTTCTTCTTAAAGCTTGTGTCCTGTTCCTTTAACAATCAACATGGCAGGGCTCCCCAAAACAGATGACCTGCCAGCTGTTACACTGAAAGTGAAGGTAGATCACTCATGAGATGTCTGCAGGAAGCTCTGTTGACTCCTTGCATCCTGGTTTTTTGGATTCATACAAGACATGGCATATACGAGATGGCCTGAACCAGGCAGTTTCTCAGACACCCGCAGTCACCTAATGTGACCACACTCTTTCCAGAATCAACGTAGCATGTTACACTTGACTGCCTCTCGGCTGACTTAGGACCGCAGTTACAGGAGGATTCCAGCCCACACATTCCTGCACTGTTTTGCTGGGGGGTCCTGGGAAGCAATCCACACTTGGTAAAGGGAGACAGAGCCATGCTCTGCCGTTACGCTCTCCCTGACGCACATACCATTGATTGTCCCATAGAAGCTGTCCAGCTTGTCAGAAACAGCCTAATTCCCTAGACGTGCAACTAATCTGATATGTAAAAAGCCAAGATTAAAGGTAGAGGTTTCTGCTTTATCAACACAGAAGCCAGGGCTATGTGACCAGTGAGTCACTTGGAGGCCAGGAACCATGTGTGTCACATGAAACCACAGCATGCACGAAGAAGCCAAGCCTACCTGAGGCCTCCAGACCAGCTCTGGGTCCCTTTGGCCTTGCTGGGGTTTGCTATGCCTTGATCACTCAGTGAACAGACTCAAGCTAAAAGCTACTGGTACTGCCATCGGGGCCTGGGATAGCAGAAGCATCATGGCCGCCGTGACCAGTCAGGAAGTTTCTGCCCCAGTGCAGGCTGGCTCGAGGCAATGGCCACAAGTCCAGAATGCAGAGTTTCCCCTCAGCCTCACCCCACCCTGGAACCCACTGGACATCTTACACATAGACATCTGCAAGTGTGAAGGGCATGTCAGGTGGACAGGACCCACTCTTGTGTGGACCTACTGGACTATATTATTCTATCCAGGGGCCATTTCCAAGCAGAGGCTTCCTGCTGGTAGATGGGAAAGAGGAGAGCCAAGAGCATCCCCTATGTGCTCCAGATGTACATGCGTCTGTGCTGGGCGATGCGTTGGGTGTGGAGGACAGGAATGGCAAGGCAGGGGTTCTCATCTGCAGCAGTGTTGGGGCCTCTCCAGCAGCGTCCTGCATGTGCAAAACCTGACACTGTCCACAAACTCAGCTTCTTCTCAGTGTCACTGTTGGTGATGAACAGACAGCCCCACCCTTCACAATCATGAACCCAGCATGTGTAGAGTGTAGCATTCCCAGCACGAACCCCCATGTGTAATGAGTGAGCTCTGTGTTAGTCTTTCCCACAATGGCCATGCTTGTAAGAGTTTTCTTTTCTGCCTGGTGCTCTACTACTTGAGCCATACCTCCACTTCTGGCATTTAGCTTGTTAAATTGGAGATAAGAGCCCCACATACCTTTCTGGCTTTGAACCATGATCCTCAGATCTCAGCCTCCTGAGTAGCTAGGATTGCAGGCGTGAGCCACCAGCGCTGGGCCTTATGGGTTTGCTCCATGTTGCTTTACGGGTGTTGAACAATACTGGATTCATACCAAAAAGGTTTATCACGTCCGCTGTACTCGTAAGGTTTCTCTCCCTCATGAACTCGGTAGAGACTGGTGACATTAGCACGCCGAGTCAAAGGTTTCCCGAAACTTCTGCACTCGTAAGTGCCTTCTTTCATGTGCGCTCTCTGATGCTCGGTGAGGTTGCTCCCTCGTTTATAGGACTTGCCGCAGTCAGCACACACGTATGGCCTCTCCCCGGTGTGTACTCTCTGGTGCACAGTGAGGTCATAGCCCCGCTTGAAGGAGCGCCCACACTCTGCACACTCGTACGGCCTCTCCACGTTGTGCACCCGCTGGTGCACGGAAAGGACGCTTCTTTCCTTAAAGGACTTCCCACAGATGCGGCACTGGTAGGGCCTCTCCCCCGTGTGGATCCTCTGGTGCACAGTGAGGACGCTCTTCTCCTTGAATGACTTGCCACAGTAGGCACACACATAAGGCCTCTCGCCCGTGTGGCCTCTCTGGTGCACGATGAGACCATTTCTTAGCTTAAAGGATTTGCCACACTCACCACACTCATAGGGCCGCTCCCCTGTGTGGCCTCGCTGATGCACGGTGAGCTCACCTCCACGCTTAAAAGCCTTCCCACAGTATGTGCACACGTAGGGCCGCTCCCCGGTATGCACCCGCTGGTGCACGATCAGGTCACCTCCGCGCTTGAAGGACTTTCCACAGTCCCTGCACACGTAGGGCCGCTCCCCGGTGTGCACCCGCTGGTGCACAGTGAGGGCGTAGCCATCCTTAAAGCATTTCCCACACTCCCCGCACTCGTAGGGCCGCTCGCCTGTGTGGATCCGCTGGTGCACGGAGAGGGCTGCTCTGCGCTGGAAGAACTTCCCGCACTCCCCGCACCCATATGGCCGTTCCCCGGTGTGGATCCGCTGGTGGATATACAGGGCTGCTCGGCGCTTGAACAGTTTCCCACACTCGCTGCACTCATGGGTTCTTTCTGCCGGATGGACTGTTGGAAATGGGACAAGGGAGTACTGAGTGTGGAATGGTCTCTCACACACGCTGTGCTCATAAAGATTTTCTCCAGGATACACACTCAGGTTGGGAAAAGCTGTATTTTCATGGCTGGAAGCTTTTGTCCACTGAAAGAAGTCGTAGTAGCTCCTCCCGTAGTGAAATGCTTCCCAAAGCTGGGTGGTGTGCGGGCCCTCACAGTGGGGGATGACTGGGGGTTGCAGGAAGTGAGAAAATGCAGACAGATCCTTCCAGAGGTCCTCAAATTGGAATCGCTGTCCCCACACGAGGTAGTCAGAGTTTTCCTCAAGCGCAGTCCCATCCACACCCCACGCCACTGGCTCCTCCTCCCTCTGATGGTCCTGGTGCTGATGGACATCTGCATTCGCCTCAGGCAAGCAGGGCTGCTGCACCGGAGGAAGAGCCAGGTACAAGATGTCTTTCAAGACGAGAACACAGATGCTGCAGGAGTGAGTCTTCTGGGTGGGTGGACATATCTGTGGACTTGTCACATGTGACTTTCCACCCAAAGACACACGGGGCACAGATGATGCCCAACCGTCTACTTCATGCCCACAACCTAAACCAGAGAAATGACAGTGAAACACCTGCATCCCATGGCAGGAGCAGGGGGGGAGGGGGGGCGCGTGGGATTTTCTTGGTGGTGCTGAGATCAATCCCAGGGCCTTATACTTGCTAGACAAGCACGCTACTACCTAGCTCAACACTGCAGGATTAGTCTGAAGACAGAAGTGTGGAGCCAGAGGACTGGGCCTCTGTAGACATAGAACTGGGGCAGTGCCATACACAGGGCACAGGAATGGGCGGCAACACTGGGAAGAGAAGCGGGGTTTGAACCTCCCTCCCTTGGGAACGGTCACTGTGAAATCCCCCAAGCTCGCCACAGCATCTTCAGAGCAGCCCGGCCAGGGCAGGGAGCTCACACCACGGGAGGCACTGCTCCAGCCCAGGGCAGCAAAGCAACTCATGCTGTGTTAGAAAATGTTTCAGGAGATGCGTGCGGCTTATGGCCCATGAGGAACACATCAGCAGGGAGAATGCTGCAGAGGCAAGTAGAGTGCACTAGTGAAGGAAGGAGGAGGGGCAGAATGCAGAGCACAGACAAGTATGGCAGCACTGTAGATTCTTGGGCTGACAGGAAGGGGGGACCCAGGGTATGCATTCCTGTCCTCAGGCCTTCTCTTAGGACCAGGCACTGCTAAGAACAACTTCCCACGTTTATCCTAAGCAGCACACAAGATTCTCTGAACCCCTGGCTGCAGTATGCACATGAGCATGTGCATGAAGCTCCAAGGGACAGGGTCGGGTGGCCTCAGCAGCAGCCCAAGCCACTCCGCCCACTGCACTTGGGAAGACCAGTAGTACAAGGAAGACTGAGAGGAGGGGCTGTGGGTATCCGCTGCAATGCCAGGAGAACCAAAGAACAGAAAATGGGCAAAAGGTGTTGTGCATGCCGAGGGTCACAGGCCAGGGCAAGGGAGAACAAGACTATCCTCCAGGCCGGTGTCACACAACTTCCTGCCGAATCCGTGCTGGCAGTTATGATAGCACTTGGCATCGGGGGTACACAGGGCAGAGCGTGTGGCCACATCCACATCACCCGTGCCAAAAGTGAGCAGTTAGCAGAGCCTATGGACCACAGTGGAGGAGGCAGGGTTGCTTGTGGGGAGAGAAGGATGACCAGAGACCAGGATGGGTGGGCGTGGCTATCTTACCTACAGAGGTCACAAGGGCAAAGGTCTCCAGCATCACATTGAGGTACAGTTGCCTCTGAGCTTCATCAAGGAACCCCCACTCCTCTGGGGTGAAGGAAAAGACCACATCCTCAAAGTTTGCATAGGCCTGCCATGGTTGGAAGAAAATATTCCATCATCAGCTTCTCTGTTAGGACTCCAGGTTGATACGCCCATCCTCGTCTCCAGGAAGACGCCAGGCTCTATTTCCTTCCATAGTACCAACAGGTGGTCAGCAGACATCACATAAAGTCTGACACTGGCTGGTACAGATGTCTCTTGTCAGTGGTCAAAGCCTCTCTCCTTACCGCCCCCTCCCCCGCCATGAATGGTAACCTTGGCATTAACATGTTGGCTTACCGTTCACCTTTGAGTCACTAAGAGCAAATCCACCATTTCCCAGACTCCTCCTGTCTGGTCTAGGTGCACATCATATTTTGCACACTTCCACAGTTATTTCCACCACCACCACCACCCCCTCGGTCTACACTACCCAGAGTGTGCTGGTACCAAGAACGCAATGGTGCTACTGCTGCAAGGACAGTGACACAGCCCTGAAGGTCACCTTGGCTGGCCATTCCTGTCCCAACCTTTAATATCAAGGGCTGTGTGTGGCTCCCAGAACCCCCTCCCTGGCTGGCAATGGTGCACCGGGTGTTCCTGACCAGGGCCCTGCCCTCCTACCACAGAAAGACTGCACATGCTCCCACTCTCATCTGCCACCTTGAAGCTCCTTAGACCTCGAGGGTAACACGGAATTTTGGAGTGAACAAAAGCAGCCTGCAAGGCTCCATGCTGGGGACATGCTCCCACGGGTTGGGGAAGGGGGCAGGGACCAGCACAGGCCTGAGTCCTCTTTGCCTGTGTGTGGTGGTGGGGGGAGGGAGACACTAACAGGCCTGGGTCGTCCTCGCGTGGGACTGGGAGGTGGTGCGGAGAACCCACAAAGGCCTGGGTCGGGGGTGGTGGGGGGAAGTGGGGCCCGCATAGGCCGAGTCATCCTCGCGTTGGACTCGGGACCCCGCACAGGCCCCGGTCCTCTTAGCAGAACTGTGCCCCGGTGACTCGCCACAGGGCCGACAACGGGTCCCGTACTCCGGGGTGGAGTCGCCCTGCATGACGTCACACCCCGCTCTGCGGTCCCTGGAAGGACGCTCCCCGCTCCCGGGGACCCGGGCCGGCCTCGCACGCTCGGGAGGGGGGGGAGGGGGGCTCACCTGGGCCGCATCTCCCGGCGCAGCCATTAGGGTCGCGGGCGCGGCCGTCACCGGGTTTCCGTCCCTCAGAACCGCGGCCGCGCGACAGGGCGGACACCGAGCCGCGACCCACGTCGTCCCGCCCGCCTCAGGTAAACCTCGATCCCACCCCCCATAGACCCGCACGTTGAACAGCCAAACACGCGCTACCGGAAGTCCCGCCCCAACGCCATGCTGCAAAGGGGGGAATGAGCCTGCTCAAACGCTGACTGGCCTCGCGTCATTCTACGAGAACAGGGCCTTCTGGGTAATGTAGTTCCTGAAGTCCCAGGCGGAGGCCAGTGGGTTGGACCTGGAAAGACTGGAGGGCTCCACTTGGGGAACTGGGCAAAGGCCTACAGCATCCGTTGTGCGCGAGTGCGCTCGCAGCATCTTCCAGCCTGGTTTACGGCTGAGTCTGCGGGAAGTCTGTTGTTGCCAGCACAAAGTGGTGGCTAGATTACATGGCAGTGTTATTGTTTACTTTCCCTGTACCCCTGCTCCCATTCTCACCAGTAAGACTTCATGATCGTCACCTGGCCGGGGTGAGATGGCTCTCAATGCTTTTCTCTGATGCTCAGGATGCCTTTTTTCGGGGGTTGGGGTGGGGTTGGTCGTGGGGCTTGAACTCTGGGCCCTGGCGCTGTCCTCAGCCCTTTAGCCCAAGGCCAGTGCTCTACCACTTGAGCCACAGCGTCACTTCAGTGTTGGAGATGAGTTTCACGGACTTCCTGCCCAGGCTGGCTTTGAACCGCGAGCCTCCAGTCTCAGCCTCCTGAGTAGCTGGGGTAACAGGCCTGAGCCACCGGCGCCCGGCAGGATGACATTTTAAGAAACGTATTTATTTTTGTTTGTACTTGAATCTTCACTTGAAAAGAATCTGCAGTTCCCTTCCCCATTTTTTGACTGGTACATCTGCTTTTTGGTCATTCATACTTTCTAAGCTTTGCGATGTTTTTCTTCCCCTTGTGGAGATGCTGTTTAAAAAATATAATTTGTTATTACAGAGGGGACATACAAAGGGATTACAATGACTGCATTTCCTTTCATACAGCGTCTCCTGTCCCTCATTCCCTCCCAGACCCTCCCTCCCTCTCCACCCATGAGTTGTGCGGTTCAATTTCATCACTGTCCAGTGAGCTCCACCCACGGCTGCACCTTTTCACCCTTTCCACTTGAGTTGTGTACCCTCCCCGCAAACCTTCCAAAGATGTATACTTGAATACACCATACACAAGGTAAAGACAGAATCATCAACAAAAGAGGTCTCTTGTTTCCATATCTTGGAGTTTATTTCAGTATGTGTATTATTTTATATAAATATGAAGAGGCACTTAGGCATTGTGCCTTTGTGATTCTCTCCTGAAAGAATATTCTCTTTTGGTCTCACTGTATTTATAATCCTGTATATCATATCCCAGTTTACTCTAGGTCTATTTCCTGCATATCAGAGAATGTGCACTATTTGTCTCTCTGAGCTTGGCTTACCTCACTTCACATGATTTGTTCTAGAGATGCTTCCAAGTTTCAGATCCATCTGCCAATTATTCTTCCCCTTCCCCCTCCCCCGAGCTATTAGAAGACAAAGAATACAGAAAAGGCTGAGTATTAATATGGAGGTTCAGTAAGATAGATATTTCTAACACATACAGTTTGTAAAGTCATTATGATATTTTGAATTACAAATGAGGACTTCCTTTCTTTGGAGGTCTTGGGGAGCAATGCAACAAGGTGAAAACTGGCACAGGAACTATTCTTTACCATTATACTCTTCCTACTGAGGCACATATAATTGGGGGGGTCCCCTAAGAGTTCATCACTTCATATAACCAGATCCTAATTCCATATAAGTAACCAAATAGTCACAAGAAGCAAGATGAAAGGTTACATCAAAATGTCTTTATTAGAGGAGGGATCAGAGAAATATGAGGCAGACCATTATCAGCCAGTGACTTGGAGTCTAGAAAAATCAACTACTCCCAACGACTCCAGGAAGAAGCCATGCCTTCCTTGCAAGCCGCAGGCTGAAGCGTCACCATGTTCATCAGTGTGACAGTGTCCCGTCAGTGATAGCATCCTGTGTGACGGTGTCCCATCAGTGTGACAGTGTCCTGACAGGGTGATGGCGTCCCGTCAGTGTGTCCTGTTAGTGTGACAGCGTCCCATCAGTGTGAGTGTTGTCAGTGTGACAGTGTCCTGTTAGTGTGATGGCATCCTGTCAGTGTGACAGCATCCCACCAGTGTGACGGCTTCCCGTCAGTGTGACAGCGTCCCATCAGTGTGACAGCGTCCTGTCAGTGTGACAGTGTCCTGTTAGTGTGATGGTGTCCCATCAGTGAGTGCTCAACTAAACAAACAGAATGAAGTTGTCTAAGTGTCTACTCAAGATTTCATTCAGGGAAGAGAGGCTCACTGACCCATGCCTTGGCTAGTGCATGGTGGTAGAGGAGACAATGGCTCTAAAATAGTGTGACGATGATTTCACTTTGGCAGCAATGGCCAGGCAAAACCCAGCATGCACAGAGCCACTCCTGTTTTCCTTACCTCATGTGTAAATTCAAGGGAAATCTGAAGCACTGAACATATGCATGTGTGCAGAAAGCTGCCTGAGGTTTTCAGGTATGGACATAATGAGCAAAACTTCATTCCTATGCCAGGCACTGGTGGCTCACACTTGTAATCCTAGCTATTCAGGAGGTTGAGATCTGCTGATTACAGTTCAAAGCCATACCGAGCAGGAAAGTCTGTGAGACTCTTATCTCCAATGAGCCACCAGAAAACTGGAAGTGGTGCTATGGCTCAAGTGGTAGAGCACTCGCCTTGAGCTGAAGAGCTGAGGGACGGCGCCCAGGCCCAGAGTTCAAGACCCATGACAACCACCACCAACAAAAAACAACCCCAACACCACACATTCCCTTCATGTCTAAGGCTCTTCACAAGCAGGGACTTTTTGCTCCTAAATAGGTTGGGTCACAGACTGAGAGGTTTCCCACTTTAACTACTTTCTTCTGACCTTCCTAAAGTGTCATCCATTTGGTGTGAAAGATGTCCCACATCTAGTGTCCTCCCAGGGCCTTTCTCTGGGGCGAGCCCTGCCCTGTGACGAGGGGAGTTCTTTGGTTAAATCACTTACCACGCTGTCGTCCATGGTCACAGCTTTTTCCCATTGTGAAACTCCTGGTGGGAATACTGTTTTTCTGCTCCGTGGTGGTTCCACATTCTTCATGCATGTAAGGCTCTTCTCCAGCATGGGCTCCCTGGTGTACAATAGGGTAGTTCTGCCTTTAAAGCATTGCCCACACTCTCTACCTGCATAGCTGTTCTCCCGTGCGGACGCTCTGGTGCTTTGAGGCAGCTACTTTGGTTAGAGGACTCACCTCACTCCCTGTACGCACAAGGCCTCTCTCCGGGGTTTGATCAGACCAGACCCATGCTTGAAGGATTCATCACACTTTGAGCACTGGTCACCAGTCTTTTTTTTTTGGCCAGTCCTGGGGCTTGAACTAAGGGCCTGGGGGGGGGGCTGTCCCTGAGCTTCTTTTGTTCAAGGTTAGTACCACTTGAGCCACAGCACCACCTCTGGCTTTTTCTGCATTTGTGGTACTGAGGAATCGAACTCAGGACTTCATGCATGCAAGGCAAGCACTCTACCACTGGGCCGCCTTCCCAGCCCTGCCATGGAATATTTGATGCTAACAGTATGACAGAATCAAAGATCGGAGGCTGCATCCAGGATCAGGCATCCCACTCTGACTCCTATGTCGTATCCCCAGGTTAGGCTGTTTTACACCTGTAATGTCCTCCAAAGAGCCACGTGTCAAAGGTTTGTTCTGCACAGTAACTGTGTTCTCTCTTAACAGGGCCTGGAAGTAGATGACATCTTCTGTGAAAAATGGGGTGAACTCACGTTATTCAGAGATGCTGCAGACTGGCATAAATACCGCCCAACATTCAGGTGAACTCGGGTCTCATGAGAAATGAATTCTTCTAGGTCATAAATTAGTCCTGGAAAGTCCTGTGTTTTTTTTAAAAATAATTTGCTTTATTGTTATTATAAAGATGATGTACAGAGGGATTACAATTACACGAATCAGGTAATGGGTAAGTTTCCTTTAGTACAGTGTCTTCTGTTTTTCCCCCCAAGCCCTCCCTCCATCTCTATCCACTCTCACCAGTTTCCAGTGAGCTCCACAGCTGCACTTTTCCACCCTTTTCCCTGGAGTTCTGTACCCTCCCTCACTTGAATACCCCATCTATAAACAAAAGAATCATTAAAACATAAAAATTAAAAGATCTGGTTTCTATGTCTTGAAGTTCTTTGAAATATTTTATATAAATATGAAGAGACACAGACATTTCACCTTTTTGTTTCCAAAGAGTATCCTCTTTTGGCCTCACTATATCTAGAATCCAGTATAATTTATCAGGGTCTTTTACATCTAATTTCCACATATCAGAGAGAACATACTCTACTAGTCTCTCTAACCTTGACTTACCTCACTTCACATGATTTGTTCTAGTTCCATGCATTTCCTGCAAATGACATTATTTTATTCTAATGTCTGTGTAAAATTCCATTGTATGTAGGCACCACATTTTGTGGGCCCACTCATCTATTGTGGGGTATCTGGGCTGTTTCCATATCTTTGCTATTGTGAATAGTGCAGCAGTGAACATGGATGTGCAGGTGTCCTGTCATATCCTGGCTCACGATGCTCAGGGTAGATGCCTAGGAGTGGTGTGGCTGGGTCGTAGGGAAGGTCTGTGTTTAGAACCTCTAGACTGCTATCTAGAGAGGTTGTAATTGTTTATATTCCCACAGGGTTTCTTTCCCCCCAACATTCTCATTCAAATTCAAAATGTTGGCCAATCTAACTGAGGTGAGATGGAATCTCAAGAGTTGTTTTGCATTTATGATAGCCTGGGATGATGAGCAATATTGTGTCTCTTTGCCATTCTCCCTGCTTCTTCTGAGAAAGCTCTCCTTGTTGTTCTTTTGGAGGACATGGGCAGCAATCCACATCAGGCAATAAGCAGAACAGAAACTACTTTTGCCATTATATTTTTGTCAGTGGGGCCCCATATGCAAATTACTACCTCATATTAATAGTGCTTGATTGTACATAATGTAACCCAGCACTGTTACAAGATGAAACTGGCCTGAAACAATCCTCTTTTACTGCACAAACCACAGCCATGTAGGCAGAGTGACCAGTTAGAACTTGGAGTATAAGTGTCATGTCAGACCAACTTCCATGAAAAAGCTAACTGTCTCATGCAAGCTCACATCTGGACCAGAGCTGAGCTCCTCTGCCCAGAAAGGTATCATAGCAGGATATGATCATTCAGCTAACAGAATAAAGTTGCCCTAATGGTTCTAGTTGCTCCAGATTCTCCCAGAGAAGGGGAGATGTATGTGCCTTTGACTCGGTATGCCAGGTAGCCTTTCTTCACATGGCAAGGCGACAGTGGGGGATGATGTCTCTAAGAGTGCTGCCATGAGTTCATCTGGTGAGGTCCCTGAACAATCCAGAGTGTACAGGGCAGCTCCTGCAAACTTCACCTGTTAACTCAGTGGACATGTGCAAGTGGATAATTCAAATTCAGACAAGATTTTTTTTTTTTTCGGTTGTGGGGCTTGAACTCGGCTTGGGTGCTGTCCTTGTGCTCTTCAGCTCAAGGTGGGCGCTCTACCACTTGAGCTACAGCATCACTTCCAGTTTCCTAATGGTTTACTGAAGATAAGAGTCTCACGGACTTTCCTGCCCAGGCTGGCTTTGAACTGCAATCCTCAGATCTCAGCCTCCTGAGAAGCTAGGATTACAGGTGTGAGCCATGGGCACCCGGCTTTCAGACAAGATTCTTACGGTTCTCAAGTAGAGAGATACTGCACAAAAATCACATCCTGTGCAGACTGAAAGTTCTTCCCAACCAGGAACTTTGTGCTGGAAGGGTTCTTTTCACATCCGCAGCTTTCACTGGGCTTTTCTATGGTGTAATCCTTTTGGTGTGGAAAACCAACGTTGTGTGAAAGATTTCCCACATTTGCTGCATTCATAAGGCCTTTCTCCATGGTGTAATGTCTTGTTAAACCTCACCATCTTAGACATCTTAGACTTCTGAGCTTCTGTAACTCCAATTTGCTTTTGTGACTTCATCTTAAAGAAAGGACTGCACCTCTACCTAGTTCCTTATGGTTTGATGTTTAAAGATATATGTATCCCTTGTCCACTGTTTCCTTTACGGTCTCTAGGTAATGATCATAGTCATAGAAACAGGTCATGATACTTGCTTATACCACTGTTTACCTTCTGTAACATCCTGCCTGGCTTGTACCTGCAGGAAAGAACCATTAGGGACTCTCCACCCCTGAGCAAACAAGGTAGGTTTTCTGCTATAAAAGCAGACCTGAAAATAAGCTTGGTATTGCACTGGGTGGAGGGGGAGGATAAAAAGGGTCCCTGAGCCCCAGTGAAGTCACTGGCCAGCTAATAAAAGACTTTCTATTGGCTGTACTCTGTCCATGTGGTCTCTCTAGTGGTCTTCCCCACAAGGGTGAGCTGTTTCCTGGGTCACAGGGCACTATTTTAGCTAAAAGCACCCTCACACATTGTCCACACTCAGGTTTGTGAAATTTCAGGTGCTGAATACTCCTCTTGTGACAAAGATAGTCCCTCCTCATTCTTCACACTCCTAACACCTTAAGACAGTATAGACTCATGTACACTAAGGTAATGAATTTGCTTGAAGGTTCTGCCACATTTTCAACGTTCATAATCTCTTGTGTAAAGTCAGGCAAGATCTTTGGTTAAAGGGTTTTTCACTTTCTGAGAATGGACTGCTCTCCAGTATGGACTAGTGTATCATAAGAGAATATGCTTGTAAATGACTTCCTGCAATCTCTGCATTCATAAAGCCTTTCTCTAGTGTTGGCCTTTCTGATATAAAGGCAGGCCTACCTTTGAAGGACTTTCCCATATTCTTTGTATTCATGAGGCTCCCTCCAGTGTGGACTCTCTGGTGTGCAGGAAGAGCATGTGTTTTCCTTAAAGGATTTCCCACACTGTCTGCATTCAAATGGCCTGGATCCCAGGTGTTTATTATGTCACATTCTCTAATTCATAAGTCTTTCTCCAGTATGTCCTCTTGGTATATAGTAACTTTTTGACTTAATGTTTTTCACATACTGTGTACCTATAAGGTCATTCTCCAGTGAGATTTTTCTGGTATACAGTAAGATACATTTTTTTCTATGAAGGATTTCCTACAATCGATACACCCAAAAGACCTTTCTCCAGCCTGTACTCTTTTCAAACAAGCTAGATCCACCTCCAAGCGCCAATGATTTCCCACACCCTCTACACATAAGGCTTTCCTAGGATTACTGTGGATTTAGCAAGTCCATGACCACACAATGTGTGGACACTGCCTGTAACTCTGGGCCTTTCTGCTCAGGTCATCTTTACCCAGACACAAACTGTCAGAGTAGTTTTCTAGGAGCAGGCCACAGAACCAAGTGCCTTGTTGGAAATCTTGCCCCACCCTAATAATTTTGAACTGGAAATGACTGTGTCCTTACCGATCATTGGTTCCATATCATACCTTTCTCCCAGTGCCTTCTGAGCAATGTAGTTTTCTCTGTTCATTGGGCAGATGTGGGTGCCCCTATCTGAATCATCTGGAACAAAGGCCAAGAGGCTTCTTCCAGGAGTCTTTCCAGGGGCTTTCTCTTAGCCACACTGCTGTAAATCCCTCCTTCCTGATTCCTTTCTTAGTAAAAATCTTGGACCACTCCAGCATTTTCTCATCTTTCATCCAGCTGGCTCCACAAGAGGACTGACAGGGACCCATGACTGGTGCTGAGGACAGCAGCTCTTGGAAGTTAGCAGGGGTACAGACTTGGGCAGGACTGAGGAGCTGAACCCTGAGTGTGCAGTAGGCTGAGGCCTCTTGGAATCCTCTGATCCACCTCCTGAGCTAGGTTTTAGCACATGGCCCCTGAGCCACCTGTGGGAACAGTCTGAAGGAACTCCTTTCCAGGTATCTTGTCTTAGATGCTGTCCCCCCCCCCAACTCTAGACAGTTGTGTTTCATAGTTTTATTGTATCAGATATACATTGGGTGAATTTCCTCTCTTGTACACAATTTACTCCAGTTATTTTTCTCTTGGTATCTCTCTTCCACCTTTTCTACTTCCTATCACAGGGATCATTGTTGTTGCTATTTTTTCCCCCTTCGATCCAGGGGTTTAAAGTCTTGGCATAGGTACTGTCCTGAGCTTTTGTGCTCAAGACTAGCACTCTGCCACCTGAGCCATAGCTCTACTTCTGGCTTTTTCTGTGATTAATTGGAGATAAGAGTCTCAGGGACTTTCCTGCCTGGGTGGGCTTTGAACCTCGGTCCTCAGATCTCAGCCTCCTGAGTAGCCAGGATTTTAGGCATGAGACACCAGCACCTAGCTTCATTGTTCTATTTTTATACATACCAACTGTACATTTATAAGGCCTTTCTTGAATGGATTCTCTGGTGTACAGTAAGAGAACTGCTTTGAGTAAAGCATTTTCCACATTCTCTACACTCATAAGGCTTTTCTCCAGTGTGTACTCTCTTGTGTGAACTAAAGCTGCTTCTGTGCTTAAATGATTTTCCACAATCCTTACACTCAAAAGGTCTTTCTCCAGTGTGACCTCTCAAATGTGTAGTAAGGCAACTTTTTTCCTTAAAGGCTTTTCCACATACTGTGCATGTATGAGGCCTTTCTCCAGTATGATCTCTCTGGTGTGCAGTAAGAGAACTGTTTTGTTTAAAGCATTTCCCACATTCTCTACACTCATAAGGCCTTTCTTCAGTGTGTACTCTCTTGTGGGAACTAAAGCTGCTTCTGTGCTTAAATGACTTTCCACAGTCTTTACACTCAAAAGGTCTTTCTCCAGTATGACCTTTCAAATGTATAGTAAGGTAATTTTTTTCCTTAAAGGCTTTTCCACATACTGTGCACATGTGAGGCCTTTCTCCACTGTGAATTCTCTGGTGTACAGTAAGAGAAATGTTTCGCTTAAAGCATTTCCCACATTCTCTACACTCATAAGGCCTTTCTTCAGTGTGTACTCTCTCATGTGAATGAAAAGCATCTCTGTGCTTAAATGACTTTCCACAATCTTTACACTCATAAGGTCTTTCTCCAGTGTGATCTCTCTTGTGTATACTAAAGGAACTTCTATGCTTAAATGATGTCCCACATTCTCTACATACATAAGGCCTTTCTCCATTATGGCTACTTAGGTGCACATTAAGGTCACTGAACTGATCAAAGATTTCCCCACATTCTCTACACTCATAAGGCCTTTCTCTCTTAGGAAAAGTAAGGTGACTTTTTTCCTTAAATGACTTCCCACATTCTCTACACTCATAAGAACTTTCTGTAGAGTGTACTCTCTTAGGAAAAGTAAGGTGACGTTTTTCCATAACTGACTTCTGACCTGTGCACACGCAATGCTTTTCTCCACTGTAGCGTCTCAGGTGTGTGTTAAGGCCAGTTTTTTGCTTAAAGCATCTTCCACAATCTTTACACTTATAAGGCCTTTCTCCAGTATGGTTTCTCAGGTGCACAGTATGGACACTTTTTTTCTTAAAGGATTTTCCACAAACATTACACACATAAGGCCTTTCTCCAGTGTGTACTCTCTGATGTACAGTAAGGACACCTTTTTCCTTAAATGATTTCCCACATTCCCTACACTCATAAGGCCTTTCTCCAGTGTGGCTTCTGTGGTGTACAGTAAGTGTGGTTTTTCTCTTGAATGATTTCCCACACTCTCTACACACATAAGGCCTTTCTCCAGTGTGGTCCCTCAAGTGCACAGTAAGGGTGCTTTTACGCTTAAAGGATTTCCCACATTGGCTACACCCATAAGGCCTTTCTCCAGTGTGGTTTCTCTGGTGTGCAGTAAGGGATCTCCTTTCCTTAAAGGACTTGCCACATTCCTTACACTCATACTGTTTTCCTCTAATGTGGCTTCTGTGGGGCTGTGCATGTGAGTGGTCCTTGCGGCACAATGGCTCACTCTTGGTAGGCTCAGAGAGATTGTTTTCTGTGCAGGGTCTTGGGTTATAAATAGACATCTTTTTGTGGATGGGAGCTTTGCTGCACACAAACAATTTGTAGTAATTTTCTGCATAATTTGGTGCTTCCACAGAGTCACAGCTGCTGGTCTCCTCACTGTTAAGAATGGTGAGGAGGGGCTGAAGTTCAGAAAAAGATGGGAAACTCTCCCAAAAGCTGCTACAAGTAGTTAAGTATTTCTCTGACACAAAAGACTCACAGCTTTTTGACAGTGCAGTCCCATCAGTGTCCTCCTTAAAAGGTTTCTCCGCACCAAGAAGCCTCTGGTATGTGGACAAGCTTGCACACGCCCCTCCCTGGGACCACTTCTGCACACTCAGACCAGCCAGGCACAAGATGTCTTTCAAGACTGAAGCACAGACACCACAGGGACGAGCCCTCAGGCTGGAAGCATCTGTAGCTGGAGTCCTCGAGAATGCCACCCCTGCCACAGAACCACTGTGCCCACACACCTCCTTACCGCCTACTCTGTGTCCACAACCTGAAATCAAAAAGGCACGATGAAATGCAGATAGACTACAGTGGGACAAAGAAAAGAGCTGGAAGCCTTTTGTGGTGCTGGGATCAAACCCAGGGTCTTGTACAAGGGAGGTATGCACTATGGCACTAAGCCACACTCCCAGCATGGCAGACTGGCTTGAGGTGGAAGTGGGGTTCCATTTGCATAAGGGGCTGCTTCACAAAGATGTACTTCTAAAGACTGAAAATCCAGAAAACTACAGCAACATGGGAGACGAAGACTGACTGGCAAAAGAGGAGAGGCACAATTTCCAATCTGTCAGCAGACTTCGGGAATACTACTTCATGGTACTCTTTTTTTCACCTACCATGAGACCCCCAAACACAACAATCAATTTTCTTCCAAGACCCACCAGTGGGTAAACAAGCACACACGGTGCAGCATAGTGCTGGAGGCCAGGTGGGGGAAAACAACTAGAATGCACATTGATATTTCTTTGTATATTTGCATACTGCAAAACACCTTAGTTTTGGGTTAGTGTTGGAGAAAATTCCAGAAAGCTCAGGAGATTGGAGCTATTGGTGTATATGGATAAGAAAGGTGGGGCCCAGGAAGGGTGGAGAGACACCCGTGGTGTGACAGAATGTGCTTTTCATGGGGTTTGTCCAGTGGGCAATGGACTAAAATCACTAGCACACAGGGCAGTCTCCTGTACTGTAACACAACAGCCAAAATGTCACTTCCCCTGAACTACCCTTAGCATATCCAAGTGTTTATGTCAATCCTATGAAGCAGCTAGGGTTTTTCCTAAGTACTCTTGCAGCTTGGGAGGGAGTATGAGTCTCTCCTCTAGAGAAAGACAAAGCACGTGAGCCCTACACACTGTCCTGGGCCACTCAGCACAAAAGAGCCAGAAGGAAAGGAAATAGCTGTCCTGGAAGGACAGCCGGGCACAACAATGCTGAGAGAGAGGGGGGCGGGAGGGGGGAGAGCAAGCACTGTGAGAAAGTATCAGAGGTAAGAAGGGTAGAACTGGACTCAGAGGTGTGATACATGTAAACTGTCACCCAGTTGGGCTGAAGGTCAAGAGGGGAACCATCGAGGTGACTGTCAGGAATCTTCCCCAGTCCATGCAGGGGATAAAGATGTGTCACTAGAGCTGCTCCAGGCAGTACACACAACTCAGCAACAGCAACCACAGCACACATGACAAAAAGAAGTGGCAAAGTATCAGAAACCAATGACTAGCTGCAAAAGCTGCCTGTGAAGACAGAGGAAGCCAAGAGGCCAGGGTAGTGATGAATGTGATGATCTTACCTACAGAGGTTCTAAGTGCAAAGGTCTCCAACATCACACTGAGGTACAGGTGCCTCTGGGCCACATTAAGGAACTTCCATTCCTCAGGGGAGAAATAAATGACCACATCTTGGAAGGTCCCACACACCAGCTACAGTTGGAACAGAACATTCCATCATCAGATTTTGCAGGTACTGACTGTGATTTGATGAAACTCAGCACTTCACATCCATCCTCGGTGCCACATTTGCCAGCTCAGAGAAGATTCCAGATCCCACTGCTACCAATGTCCACTCTCTGCTTGGGCTCTCATGTTTTCCTCCCTACTGACCAGCAGGTGATCATGGAGATACCAACTAAGGTCTGTGGCTATCATGTAGAGCTGTATCCATTCCCCGCAAATGTACTCAGGTCTTCCATGTGGTACTCTTATACAAAACCAAATATGGGTTTGTTTTTCACCTTCATGTTACAAAAGTCCACAGGACCACCACTTCAAAAGGAAGTCCACAGGACAACCACTTCAAAAGGAAGACCAGTAGGATGGCCACTTCAAAAGGAAGTCCACAGGATGACCACTTCAAATGCTCTCTCTAGATGGACACACAGTTTGGACCAAACCCTTCTTACACTGGCAGCTATTTTCAATCCTCAGAGCTAAGGGAGGCCCTCCCTCCTTACTCTTCTCAGCACTCAGTATGCGAACAGAACACAGCCTGTCCATGCTGCAGGCAACCCACACACTGAGGTGGGGGCCACTTGCCTGTGTTCCTTGCATCAACATTTGCCATAATAACTGTCTGTGCTTCCCAACATCTACTGGGGCTCCCCATTAATGGTGTACCTGATACCTCTCAACAGTCACACCCCTTTTACCTGATAATTTTCCTTCCAAACAATGCTACAACAGCCAGCCACTACAGGCCAGTGGGTCTACCGCTGGACTTTCCCAGTCTGAAACCTTGCAATCACATCAAGGCTGCCAAGAAAATTCTGGGGAAACTTTCATACTACATCCATCACTCCCTAGCTCATGGTCCATCTCACTCTCTTCTTTCTTTACAAACACTGGCAACCACCTGACCATCTTCTCTCCTACAGTATGACCATGTCACTCAAACAAATGGTATTGTGATGGGCCCCATACCCACTGTAAACCCCAAATGGCCACCCTCACCTTTCAAGGCTGCTAAGAACACAATGATCCCAAGACTAGGACTCCCCTTCTTTATTACAGTCCATACAGACATAGATACACCTAGGGGCAGCCTGTAGCCACTACCTGTTGTCCATCTCCAGACTTTTACCATGGGGCTGCCCTCTTCCTGTCTCCATTAATGTGTCTCTGGAGCATTCAAACTCTTTTTTTTTTTTGGGGGGGGGGTCCGGTAGTGGGGCCTGAACTCTGGGCCCTGGAGCTGTCCCTCAGCTCTTCAGCTCAAAGCTAGCGATCTACCACAGCGCCACTTTCGGCTTTTTTTTTGCTTATGTGGGGATGAGGAATCGAACCCAGGGCCTCAGGCATGCAAGGCAAGCGCTCTACCACTGAGCCACCTTCCCAGCCCACATTCACACTCTTAAGATGGAGATAATCTAAGCTTTTGACGACCCGTGGGAAGCTCTTCCACTAGTGACTTTGTCGTCCCAGTGGGTGGGGCTTCTAATCCCAACCACCAAAACCCCAGAGAGCCTTGGGGTGCCACCTTTCCCTTTCACCCACGGAGTCAGAAGGTGAACTGCTGGCCCCATTTCCCATTGAGGCCTATTTCTATTGTCATGATAACGAATCTCAACTTCTGCTAAGAAATAGCCAAAAACCACCGCATGTTTTTCTTTTTTCGGTTGGTCATGGGGCCTGAACTCTGGGCCTGGGAGCTGTCCCTGAGCTCTTCAGCTAAAGGATAGCGCTCTACCACTTGAGCCACAGCACCATTCCAGCTTTTTCAGCTTATGTGGTGCTGAGGAATCGAACCCAGGGCCTCATGCATGCAAGGCCAACACTCTACCACTGAGCCACCTTCCCAGTCCCCCACCACATGTTTTGTAGACACTGTTCCCATCCCAAGCATTCCCACCCACTGTCCCTCCTAGGCCCTTCGGACCCCTCCAGGCCCAAGGGTCCCTCCAAGCCTCAGGACGGACCACAGGGCGGGCCATAGGACGGACCACAGGACAGACTGCAGGGCGGCCTTGCTATGCGCTGGGCCTCGGCGTTGACGCTGAGACTTCACTCAGAGCTCCCCGGACAGCCGGGCCCAGGGATCCGAATCCCAGCAGCTCACAGGGCCCAGGCCGGCCTCGATCTCTCGGCAAGGAGGGCCGGGGCCGCGGGACGCTCACCTGAGCCGCGTCCCTCGAGGTGGCGGCCGCCATTGGAGTCGCGGGCCAGGCGCGGCTGTCGTGGCCGTCGCCGGGTCTCCTCCCCTCAGAACTGCGGCTGGGGTCCGAGCGGACGCCACGCCCTCCAACCCCTCCCGTCGGCTCCAGTCACCTCGCGCCGGCTCCACGCCCCGAATAGGGGACTAAAGGCCGGGAAACCGGCGCCAAACGCGGACGGCAGGAAGTCCCGCCCAACCCGGCTTTTACCAACCGGAAAATGCGTGTCACTCCACTGCTCATTGGCTGCGCAGCTTCCGGCGGCGCGCAGTGCTTTCTGAGTAATGTAGTTCCCGCAGGTCGGCGGCCATGGGCCGCTCCTCACCTGAGCGGAGTCCAAGCCGACCCCGCAGGACTCTGGAATATGGCTCCCGCCGCTCCACCCTAGAGGGTTTCCGTTAGCCCTGCACATCCCCTTCCCAGACAGGAAACACCGGGAGGCTGATCGCCAATGCACCACCGGAAAACCAAAAGTGGCGCTGTGGCTCCAGCAGTAGAGCGCCGGCCTAGAGCTGAAGAGCTGGGGGGGGACAGCGTCCAGGCCTCGGGGGACAAAGCTGTTGAGGCAAGAGGAAAGGAAGATGAAGCCGCCATTGCTGGCTGCGGTGGAGTCACCCCGCTGCGGCCGCATCTGCCCGGCTGGCCGCAGCTCAGTGCCCCTGACTCGGCTTGGGTAGTCCGGCCCGCCGCCCACAGGACAAACTAGTGGCAGCCCTTCCATGAGGTGCAAGACTTGAGAGGGGTTCTCACTACATAGGGCCATCTAATTTCAAAGCCCTTGGGGGAGGGGAGGGAGAGAGAGAGAGAGGAGGGTGAGCACGCAAACACCACTAGAATCACCTGGAAAACACCTCCACAGAACCTCCATAAACAGTTAAGCACCCCTCAGTCATAACCCTACATGAGAATGCTCCAATCAGAAGACACAGATTGCACTTTGGACCCAAGGTTTATGTCTACAAGAAATATACCTCACAACTGAATACACACAGACTAAAAGTCGAAGGAGTCGTCAACGAGCAGTAGTTGTACCCATACTGGGTACAAAGCAGATTTCAATCACAGACTAGTCAGAAGAGATAAAAGGAACAATTCATGCAGAAGATACCACAATATATCTAAATATATATGCACCGAATCTTGGTGTCCCCAAGTTTATAAACCAAAAAGGAAATAAAGGGACAGACAAGTCCAGATACAATAATACTGTCTGACCCCAGTGCCTAACGCATTAGATAAAACAGGCCCCCAAACAACTAAGATATCTCAGAACTAAACAATACCATTATGAAAGGAATGTAACAGATGTATAGAATGTGCCACTCTAGAGCAGATGATTACATATTTTTCTAGAATGTTCCTCTTGAGAGAAGACCATACATTCTTCCAGAATATTCCACCATACAGAAGATCACACACTCTTCTCCGAAAGTCTCAGAAAGTACCAAAAGGAAGATCAGAATAGTTTCCTGCATCCTAACAGATCATAACAGAATAAAATTAGAAACTGTTAGCAAGGAAACCTATAAAAATGATTCAAACACATGGGGGCTGAAACACACTTCTGAAAATCAGTGCTTCACTGTGGAAATTAGGAATGAAAATTTAAAAATGGCACAGACTCAAGTGACAATGAAATATAGCTTATCAAAATCTACAGGACCCAACAAAGGTAGTGCTGAGAGTGAAATTTATAGCTATAAGTGCTTACATCAGAAGATCAGAGTAATTCTCAATACACATACTCATGATGCACATTGAGCTCTCAGGAAAACAAGAAAGAGCCATTCTTAAAACAAGGAGATGGGGAAAAAATTATAGAATTAGAACAGAAATCTAAAGGGTAGAGCCTCAGAGATTTTGACTATATGGTTGTTGCTTTAGTGGAAAGACACTGTCTCTCCTTTGAGCTTTGCATGGACATACTCCTTCCAGACCTGCAGTGACTTTTGATTCCGCATATTTAAGACTCTTTTTCAAGGACTCAAGCCTCTTCTTTCTGATTTTGGCTCAGCTGCTCATTAGGATCTTCTCACTAATTGCAAAAGTTAGGCGCAGAAGAGGCAGCTCATATTTTCGCACTGGGAGGAACTTTGCTCCTCATGGAAGATGTCTCTGACTCTCCATGGACAATGTCCCTGACACCAGAGGTGACAGGTTAATGGCACCTGGGAGGTGGGGGGGCAGATCGGGGAATTCTGTCTGTATAACTACAGTGGCAGCTGCCCCAGAACAATCGTACGGAGCATTTTGGGCCACAGAGCTCTGGCAGCCCAGGCCTGCTAGGCGAGAGCTTTCTTATGTTTAGTGCAGCTGGGGAGGAATCAGAACTGTGGTTGTGTAGCAGTCAGGTTCAGGACAAATGCGAGACCTACCTCACTCTGAGCATCCTCATTCATGTCTTGCTGGGCAGGAAAAGGAAGCCAGGATCTGGGATCAGCCAATGAAAGCTCCCTGCAAATCACTGCATCTTGAAAACACAACAAAAGAAAGGCCGTAGTCTCCTTAGAACATGAGTCATGCTTTGAATGTCCACAGCCACCAAACCTGCCTCTGTGTTTCAAATGACTTTTCTCTGTCTTGTCAGCACTGGTTGATGTAGGCTTCCGGCTGAGGCCCTTGCACCCATCCTCAGCCTCCCTGTGTGCATGCGGGCCTCAGCTCCAAGCCTCAGCTCCCAGGCCACAGTGCTCCAAGCAATTTCACGTTCTACCCGCACAGGGCTCAGAGTCAGCTTGACTCCCGTGCTGATCCAAGAAGAGCGGGGAGAAGGAGTTCCTGGGGCTTGCTGTTGGAGCAGCAAGGCCTCAGGGAAGAGTCAGACACACCTAGCTTTAATATGTTTGTTCTTCCTTTCTTGACAGCGAAGTGTCTCATCAGAAACGGAGGAGTCAGGACGTGCATCCTGGCATGTGCACATTGGCCAGCGACGCTGGGAGGTGAGTTTGTGCAATGCAGAGAGGACGGGAGTCTGCAGGTCCACATCTCTTTCCTGCTGTTCTTAGAGGTGGAGGCGAAACAGCAGCAGGGGTGCCCAGAGGAGGAACGGTGGCCAGATACAGGCTGAAAAGGAGGACAGCACTGCCTCCCCCCGTCCGTCAGGGTCCAGGGAGGAGAGATGAAAAGAAAGATTTTTTAAAAGCAAAGCAAAACAAACCCTTAATTTGCGGAGAGGATGATTACAAGGTGCACAGGAGCAGGTGAAAGGCTCTGGGCTTGGAGAACAAGAGAGACAGGTGAATATCCCCCCGCTTCCCCCACAGGAATGGGGAGATAGGAAGCAGAAATAAATTCAGTGTGGCTAGATCAAGGGAGTAGGATGCAGGGCACAGGGCATTTCCCAGAGGAAGGCATTTCAGTATTTGCATGTGGCCATGCTGAACACTACAGGTGAAGAAGAAAGACTCCCTCTCTCCCTCTGAAGCTTTTACTCCTCCCACAATGAGTGAGTCTGTTCTCATTATTTCTTAAAGAACCGTCTCACTCGAAGCTCTACTGTAGGAGAGCATTGTGAGTCTGGTAACTAGACTGCTTTGAATGGTAAATTTCAGGGTCAAACAAAGAATCAGACCCAACTTTGACACTGACACATGAGAAGAGATTGAAAACAGTGACTGGGCTGAGTCACTTCTTGAGCACACAGATGCCAAGGGGCAAATAGGTCCTCAAAGGGGGAGTGGAGCCTTCTTAACCCCTAGCAGTCAGCATCACAGCCACACACAGAAGGCAGGGAGGAGCGGGAGAGGAAAGCCAAGACTCACAGGACAGTATATTTTTTTTGTGGTCTTAGGACAGTGCAGCACAGACTGTGAGGGACTCCAGCGTTGTGCCTCACAGAAGATCAGGAAACTGTTAAGATTCAGTTAATTAGAATGAGAAAACCTGAAAGGGTTTCCTTGTGTATTCTGAGAGTTACCAACTCCACAGAATGCTGCCTGAGATGTGGTGGAAACATTAAATGAAGCTCACTAATACATATATATAATATAAAATGCATAATGTATATGACATAATAGGTAAAATAGAATTATCTAATGTACATTGTAATACAATATAATGTACATTACATATTAGAATTATTATCATTTTTATATTGATCATACAAGTTAATAAAAAACAAATGTTTAAAAAGTAAGCGTTCTAGGGGCTGAGAAGGTGGCTCAGCAAAAAGAAAAAAGCCGGGGGCTGGGAAGGTGGCTCAGTGGTAGAGCACTTGCCTTGCATGCTCGAGGCCCTAGGTTCAATTCCTCAGCACCACATGAGCAAAAAGAAAAAAGCCGGAAGTGGCGCTGTGGCTCAAGTGGTAGAGCACTAGCCTTGAGCTGAAGAGCTGAGGGACATCGCCCAGGCCCAGAGTTCAGGCCCCATGATGAGACCCAAAAAAACAAACAAAAAAAAAGTAAGCGTTCTAAAGAAAAATGGCCAGATAAGCTAAAATTAGTTTTTCAATATAACATTATAATCTGTGCTTGTTTTCTCCCCCTAATGGTATTTGTTTCCAAAGTCTCTGATTCTCTAAGACCATGACATTCAAAATGTTGGCTCTGTCACTGTAGGATCAAACCAGTTTGCTAACTTTAAAAGTTAGAAGTCACATGGATTTGCATTTCATCATCTTGACTAAAGATTGCCACAAGCAACTCAGGACTGGGAATACAAGAGTTTCACAACACACCATCTTGAGTCCCCTTTCCTGATGCATTTACTCAGTGCGTCCTTTTCAAACATCTCTTCTATTTCAGCCATGCTGTCGAACAAGACTCTCAAGTGCACCGATGTTACAGTCTGGTGGGAACTTTGGAATGTGGCCTAGTAGTAGAGTATTGTCCTATCATGCATGAGGCCCTCCATACCACTATACACAGAAAAATAAATCAGAAAGAAAAAGAAGACTGGAAAGTTATGAACGTGAACTCTGTGATGGCTATCAGTGGGTGGCTCCCATGTTAGACTGACTCTGGTATGTCTCCCAAATCTTCCACAAGGCCAGACAACTTAGGAACATTCTTGACAGTGTTGGCTCAGCTCACTCTTCAGCTCAGGCCTTTGCTGCCATCACTTCCACATGAAGCCCTGAGAACAGGCAGCGGACATGGCTGTAATTGCCATCTTGCCTTTTCAGATTATAGTTGGGACTCTGGCCAATGTCCTTCTCTTCTTCTACAATGTGTCTAGACCGAGGCCCACACAAGTGATTTTCTGTCACTTGGCTGTGGCCAATGTCTTACTTCTCACCACCGGGATTCCTCTCATCATGGTGGCTTTCGTTTCAAGACATCCCCGGTCTAGTCTTGGATGTCAGGTGGTCTACTACATTAACCATGTTGCTCACAGTGCCGTGCTGTGCTCCACCTGTGTTCTGAGCGCCTATCAGGCATTCACACTCATCCCTGGGAGTGGAAGAAGGGTGGTTATGATAGGGAGACAAGTCCTGGGGTCCACTGGTCATACCTGCTGTGCCTGCTGGGTGTACAGCACCCTAATAAGCACCTACCTTCCCAGTAGACTCACAGGTCCACAGTACAAGCACAACCACACCCATCCCCACAACCAGTGGTTCTGCTCATCCTTAGGCAGTACTGTGGGCTTTGTTTTCTTGTTGTTTGTCTCTAATGCCATATTTATTGGCCTTGTGGGCTGGGCCAGTGGGTCCGTGATTCTTCTCCTGCATAGACACCACAAGAGACAGCAGCAGATTCACACCTCCAGCCACTGTCACAGAGGCTCCCCAGAGACCAGGGCAGCTTACACTGTCTTGATGCTGGTTGTCACCTTCGTCTTTTTTCATGTGCTTAACTCTGCTTTTACTTCTTATATCACTTCTTATATGAGCTTTCGTCTGTGGGTGATGTATGTGTCTTACATTTTGAATTCGTGTTTTCCTACTTTCTCTCCTATGCTTCTCCTCCTCCGAGACCCTAGAATGCCTAGTTTGAGCTTTTGAATGGTTAACAGAATCCTAGGTGTATACTAAAACCTGTGGAAAATAGTGGTCGTGTTTAATAACCATTCAGAGTATCAGTATTTTACATAAAAATCAGCAATGAGCTTGGAAAGTCAATTTGATTCCCAGTGCCTCCCAAGAGTTCTGACAGTCAGTAGATGAAATGATGAGCTCAGAACAAAATATCTCTCATGTGACTGGAGATCAAAGCATCCTGAGAAGTGCTTAAGAATACTCTTTCTTCAGGAGCAGCTGAAACGTTTCCACATTTGTGCCTTCCAAGTGTGTACAAAATTCAGTTCAATCCACAACCATTTTGCTTGAGAGAAAGACTCAAAGGCAAAAAAGTACAGCTGGGTGCAGCGCCACACACCTATCACCTCAGCATTTATGTGGCTGAGTCAGGAGGCTCAGGAGGTGAAGGCCAGCCTGAGCTATGCTGCAGGTTAGAGGGTGAGACTGCGTCTGGAAAAATGAACAAACAAAGAGAGAGAGAGTTTTCTGGACCTTATCCAATTCTCATTCTTCTCCGCTCTGAGGAGTTTCTTTCACCCTGTCAGACATGTGCAAACTTGTGAGCAGAGGAAGAACACCAGGCAACACTAGCAAACCAGTCTCAAGAGTTTTTTTTAGGGGAAGGGGACAATGAAAGGGATGACATTGGCCAAGATGCATTGTACTCATAAATTGGCACGCTGAATTGAAACCTCTTTGTACTACTACTACTACTACTACTACTAATAATAATAATAAAGACGTGTATCAGGAGAAGGTGTTGAGGTAGAATACAAAGTGTGAAAGGTAGATGGATGGGTGAGTGAAGGAAGGGCTGACACTGATCATCAACGCAAACACTGGATTGACACCCAATGTGTTTTAAAGAACACTCAAGAAACAACAGCTCAGATGGAGGATAACAGCAGTGAGAGAGCAGAAGCTGAGAGGAGATGAGAGGGGAGGAGGGGAGAGACGTCACATCCAGGAAGAGTGAGTCCTGATGGTCTAGAGCTTCATGGTGAATGCAGTTGGTGATAAAGCATCAATGACTCCAAATCGCTAGAAAAGGATTTTGAATGAACTTACTATAAGGAAATAAAAATTTGGGCTGGGAATGTGGCTAAGTGGCAGAGTGTTTGCCATAGCATGTATGACGCTCTGGGGTTTGATTCCTTGGTATCACATACACACAAAAAATAATAGCCAGGCGCTGGCAGCTCACACCTGTCATCCTAGCTACTCAGGAGGCTGAGATCTGAGGATCATGGTTCAAAGCCAGCCCAGGCAGAAAAGTCCATGAGATTCTTATCTCCAATAAACTACTCATAAAAAGCTGATAGTGACGCTGTGGCTCAAGTGGTAGAGTGCTATCCTTGAGCACAAAGAGCCTCAGGGACATTGCCCAGGCCCTGAGTTCAAGCCCCAGGACTAGCAAAGAAATAAAGGAAGAAAAGGAAGGAAGGAAGGGACAGAGGTAGTGAGGGAGAGAATAGAGAAACACAAGCAAAATAATGAAAAGCAATTCTACAAAAAAAAAGCCCCCCCCCCAAAAAAAAAGGCTTGTGAAGAGGAGAAAAAATCCACTCAACCATATTGATAATCCTGCAATAGCAAATGGAAAGCAAGGATAAATGCTTTCCCCCAAAGACTCCATCCACAGTGCTCAGGTGATGCACTCCCGTCGAGGACACTGGCTTACACTTGACACTCTTATATTTGGTGAAACCACTTGTGGGTCATTCCTTCTGCTCAAGGGGTCTGACAACCTCATGTGTGAAGCAATGTCCACAGGGAGGTTTGCAGCAAATTTGTTCAAAGTAGATGAGCAAACACTGAGAATCCACCAACCACATGCCATCCCTAGAATAGATCATTACAGGGAATTAAATACAAATATATTTTAGCAAAAAATTAACTTGATAGAATCATAGTAAGCCCAATTTAAAAACAGAAAACAGGAATCACACTTTTTTTCCCCTGCCAGTCCTGGGGCTTGAACCCAGGGCCTGGGCATTATCCCTGAGCTTCTTTTGCTCAAGGCTAGTGCTCTATCACTTGAGCCATGGCACCACTTCTGGCTTTTTCTGAGTAGTTTATTGAAGATCAGAGTCTCACAGGCTTTCCTGCCCAGGCCGGCTTTGAACTGTGATCCTCAGATCTCAGCCTCCTGAGTAGCTAGAATTGATTACAAGTGTGAACCACTAGCACCATGCTGAAACTTGCCTTTTTTAGGAGACAATATTTCAGTGAGAAAAAGGAACAAGAAAATTCAGAGGGAATAAAATTTACTACATAACATAAAATTCAGAGGCAACAACTGGGGCTGGAGTGGGCTGGAGTTCGGGCGGGGTTTGCAAAGTCTCCAGCTAGTTCTTGAGCAAACAAGTTTGTGTTTGAGGAGTTTTTCCTTGCATTTCTTACTTTTCTCATGATGCTGTCTTCATTCCTTCAAATGCACAAAATATCTGACAACCAATGTATTTGGAAGGAGGAAGCAACAGTGGGGTTGTAAAGGGATACTGCCTCAGCTGGGTGCCAGTGGCTTACACCTGTTATCCTAGCTACTCAGGAGGTTGAGATCTGAGGATCACCATTTGAAGCCAGCCCAGGCAGGAAAGTCTGTGAGACTCTTATCTCCAATTAACCAGCAAAAAGCCAGAAGTGGAGCTGTGGCTTAAGAAGTAGAGCACCACCCTTGAGTGAAAAATCTCAGGGACAGTGCCTAGGCCTTGAGTTCAAGTCTGAGGACCACACACACACACACACACAAAATGTACACCTCCTGGAATGAGAACGTTCTTGATGAAGGTCAGAGACAGAGGTGATGGCTGAGGCAGAGGGGAAGCTCTGCTTAATGACCTCACACCCAGTGAACACACCAGCCAACCCTCACAGGGTTCCTCTTCCATGCCAGACAGTGATGCAGAAATCAGATGACCACACATTGAACCTTGCTGAAGATAGAGAACATGAGCGTGTAGAGTTGCCCCCCTAGACCCCTAAATTAGTCATTTGCTCTTTTCAGGATACAAGGAGAAAAGGAGTGCACTAGCACCCAATTAGGGGAAGATCCCATCCTCTCTGGGCCTCCTTCCTTCCTTTCTTCCTTCCTTTCTTTCTTTTTTGCTTTCTGTCTTTCTCTCTTTCTTTCTTTCCTTTTTCTTCCCTTCCTCCCTCCCTAACTCACTCCTTCCTTCCTTCCTTCCTTCCTTTCTTTCTTCCGTCCTTCCTTCTTTCCTTCCTTCCTTCCTTGTCTGTCATTGGTCTTGAACTCTGGGCCTGGGCACGGTCCCTCAGCAATTCAGCTCAAGGCTGGTGCTCTACCACTTGAGCCACAGCACCACTTCCAGTTTTCTGGTGGTTCATTGGAGATAACAGTTTCATGGACTTTGAACTGTGATCCTCAGATCCCAGTCTCCTGAGTAGCTAGGATTACAGGTGTGAGTCACCAGTGCCTATCTTTCTGGGTCTCTTTTCTAGAAGCCCTCTAAGCCAATGAGCTCTGGGTCTCAGAAATCCCTCCCCAGCCTTCCCAACCAATGTGAACTGAGAGACTCATTGGCCAATCAAATGGCACTGAGGACTTTTTCTTCCCCTTCCAACTGCTGTCCATTAAGGACCAAACAGGAAGCCTGGAGTGGTGAGTCAGGCCCTCATCTCCATTCTGTGTGCTTATATCCTATGTTGCTTGGCATCTTCATTTTCCCCCTTGCCTACCTCCTTTCTTGACCACCCAGAAAGAGTTTGTTGTATCCTTATTCCTTGGCCCAATATTTAGACTTTTTTTTTGGGGGGGGAGGGCAGTCCTGTGGGCTTAAACTCAGGGCCTGGGCGCTGTCCCTGAGCCTCCTCAAGGCTAGAGTTCTACCACTTGAGGCACAGCACCACTTCTGGCCTTTTCTGAGTCGTTTATTGGAGATAAAAGAGATTTCATGGGCTTTCCTACCCCAGCTGGCTTCAAGCTGCCATCTTCAGATCTCAGCCTCCTGAGTAGCTAGGATGCCAGATGCAGGCCGCCAGTGCTTGGCTTTTAACAGTTTAAACACAATATGCAGTGCTGTGGTTAGCCCCCTTGTTTGTAGGAAAAGACTACTACACTAAATCCTATGAGCTTGCTCCTGCTCCGACCCCAGCTAAGCCCCTGTTGTAAAGCCAGTGAACATGAAGCACAGAGGCTTGTTGGCTAAGCCAGGCCGCCATAAGAAATATGGAGGAAATGCAGAGAGAAAAGTAACAGCTGTAAGGTATTCTCAGAGTCAGGGGCCTTGGAAATTAAGAGGATGGATGTTTTTACATTTGATTCAGGGACCTGAACATGGAATGACAGAGAAGGCAAGAAAGCAAAGTCAGTCAACTGTATGGATTGTGAGCTTGTTAGCTGACCTACAGGGCAGAGAGTCTAAGATGTGAGTCTAAAATGTCATACATCAAGGATTCATTTACTCTTTTTTTTTTTTTT